CTCATGATGAAGGAATCAACTCTCTTATGCCAACATCTCGAAGCAAGCTTGAAACCTTATAGAGATTTGTTCGATCTACAAGCCAAGTTCTCTTTTCATTTTTCTTCAAAACCTTCTAGTTTGAGCATATAAATCTCTTCAAATTCTCCAAGAAGAAATGCAGTTTATCACGACTACTTCTACAACAAATACAGAATATATAGCAACTACACAAGCTAGCAAAGAAGCAATTTAGTTGCAAATGTACATGGAGAAGCTCGAACACAAACAAGAAAAGATTGCTCTATTTTATGATTGTCAGAGAGCTTTGCACCTGGCAAAAAATCCAGTGTTTCACCCGAAGATAAAGCACATTCGAGTTCAGCATCACCTTATTCAAAAAAAATATGCTGAAAAAAAGAAGTATGGATTTATAGAAAAGCCATATAAAAGACAAACTAGCAGATAAATTAACAAAGCAAATTAGTACTGACGAGTTTACATGGTATTGATCATCCATTGGTCTAGCAAAAATGTAAGTGGCATGGAAACAACAAGTGTAGGAAGGACAGAAAGGTTACAACAAAAGTGACTTTCATTTGAGAAATGTTAGCAAAGCAAGTAGCTTTTTGACTTTGAAAAAATGGGTGACCAAATAAGTTTTGAACCATGCTAGGCTTACAGGGACCTGTGCCCACACATATACGTGGGTCCACTTAATTTTTTTTTTAATACATCCGGGGCCCCTACACAATGAAAAGCCCTGTAAAACATCTGTGAATAATGCCTTGTACATTACTCTTAAATTTCATTGTGCAGCCACGTTTGATCACAAAAATGAGATAACATTGTTCATTAGGGGTGTAAACGGTTCGGTTTTACCGATTTTTGACATATTTTCAAACCAAACCGTTTAAAACGGTTTGAAAAAAACCCAAACCTAAACCAAACCATTTTGAACGGTTTGAAAAAAATTCAAACCTAAACCTAACGGTTTGATCCGATTTTAAACCGTCGGTTTCACCATATATTTTTTTCCCCTTCTACTTTTATGTCATTAATTCATTGAATATAATATATATTTATATCTCACTAGTAATAAATTTAAAATAAACTAAGCCCCTGTTTGAACCAAAATTTTGGAATAAAAAAATGAAAATTTAGACCGTTATTCCACAAATCCAACTGTCTTTGTTGACCTGCTATTTCATGTGTGGAACCCAACCTCCTCTCCAATAGTCAATTTTCTCATTATGATGATATGAAAAATATGGCTCAAATAAGGGCTAAATATATCTACTATAAATTTAAATATCAACTAAATCAAAGTGAAATCACAATAAACTAAAACATAATTTTTTTTTCATTTTTTTTCACCTGTTTTAGGCTAATGACGATACAATAACATTACAATACAAGTCTACTAAACTAGGTATAAGGTCCAAAACACATAATGATGTCCAACAAGATTTCGTGATCATCATATCTGAAAAAAACGGATATTGATTAAACAAAGAGAATAACCAATTACAATAATAAAACAATTGTCTAAACATAACAATTACACAAGTTTACGTTTGTATGATATTACGAAACACATTTAATTTCAGATTCTTACCTTAGTTTGCTCCAAAAAATTATTGATACGAAACTTTATTTGTAGCACATATTATCACCGAAAGTTTAGGATCTCTTTGTCTCCGATTTGGTATAATGGATTTCAATTCAACTTTGAAAAGGCGTGAAAAATCTGAAAAAAAAGTGTATGGTGCCGGTTGCTCAAAACTGTGTTGCGTGTCGACTAGAGTTTATCTAAATTTTGAAGAGGAAAAAGGCTTTTGATAGATTATGTTAATCTTGAAATTATTAAATATATATTAGAATTATTGGATAATAATAATAATAATAACATAAAATACCCACAAATGACAAAACTATTGAATTTTACATATTTGGATCAATTTTCAAAAAATTTCATTTTTTCATTTTTTTATTTTTATATATTTTTTCGCCGGTCCGGTTTGATTTTTAACCGTAATTAAAATTCTTAAATCTAAACCAAACCATTTTGACCGGTTTGGTTTGGGTCAAAACCATTTCGTTGACCGGGTCCACGTGGCACCAAACCGACGGTTTCTAAAACGCAATTTCGGTTCGATTTTCCGATTTTGCGATTTTTGCTTACAGCCCTATTATTTATGCATTCCATTATGTGTTAAGCCCCCGTTTAGCCCCCATTCTCCTTCTCATTCTCTCTCTCTCTCTCTCTCTCTCTCTCTTATTTTCAACCACACAATCTTCTATAAAATAATATTACACACCAATCAGAAAATTTTCGTTCTTTTTCAACTACGCATTTTTCAAAAAAAAAAAAATATTCCAACAATTAAAATTTGAAAAGAATGAGGGTCAAACGAGAGCTAAATACTAACATTGATTTGCATTTAATGCAAAGATTGAAAATTTGAATTGCATCTTCTTTGGCCATAAAGTGTATAGGAAATGTAGCAATCATTTGCATATTATATTCATTTAAAGTTGAGCTGTGCTGTCTGCGCAGGCCTCTTTGCACACGGTCTGTAAAGGTGCACACACATGGAGGTAGACCCCACACATGGAGTTCACATGTGGGGTCCACCCTCATGTTACAGCCCCTGTGCAAAGGGGCCTGTGTAGGGGACTTTTTCCTTTAAAGTTGGTACTGCAATTAATGTGAGAAGTAGAAGTTTTCCCTCGTTTAGCCCCACTACATCTCATTAAATTAAATTAAATTGTTCTTTCTTCTATTTTCAACCATACAATCTTCAATAAAATAATATTATACGTAAATAAAAAAAATTCATTCTTTTACAACCATCCATTTAAAAAAAAAAAAAAAAACTATTCCCCCCCCCCCAATTATAATCAAAATTAATGGAAGCCGAACGGGAGCAAACAGAGGAGGTAGCTGAAGAGAAATGAGTACAATTTGTAGAGAGCAATTGAAAGCAATAAGTTACCTACTAAGCATGGTAAAGAAAAAATAGTGAGTAGAGAAATGCATAAAATGATAGAGAGAACCGAGGCATTTCCTACTTAATTTCTCATATTACAAGAAAGATCGGATGTTATTATCTCCTTGTATTTAGAAACAAGGTAATTGTAATTTTTTCTACTATAGGGAAATCTTCCTACACTTGCCTGTGGATGTAGCCACTATTGGGTGAACCATATTTGTCTTTTTTTTGCTGTATTTTTCTCAATTTCACTTTAGTTGCAAGCCAACCTTGACCCACATTTTTCCTAACACCACCACCACTCAGCTTCTCAGCTGTGGAAATGGAAATTCTGCTTCTCGGTGTAACCAATCAACAAAATAATAGTTTATATAGCCAAGCTTAAATCGCTGAAATAAGTCAGTTGGGGCCTTATTTCTCCTTTATTGATTTGATTCCCCCTTTAATGTTCAAAGGAGTATAGTCGAATTACTTACTGATCGATTTTTACAGTGGCAAAATAATAGTTTATATAGCCAAGCTTAAATCACTGAAAATAAGTCGGTTGGGGCCTTATTTCTCCTTTATTGATTTGATTCCCCCTCTAATGTTCAAAGGAGTAGAGTCGAATTACTTATTGCTCGATTTTTATAGTTTAACCTAGTTTTCCTGCCACACAATGTTATATTGATGAGTTCTTAATCAATAGTATTAGATTATTTGACTGATGAAAAGTTTCATAACTTGTAATAACAGATAAATTTAACAGAAGCACTTCTCTTCCTTTCTCATTTTATTGGAGTTATTTATCATGTAGATAATTTGAAAAGTGAATTTCCAAGTCCATTTGATCATATATTTCACTTCAAAAGGTTTTTATTAAATTATCCCGTTATTTAGTTACAATTTCTGAATTACTTTTGCAAGAGGATTCACTTCCGATTAGAGTGGAAATATAATCAATGTCCATTGGTACACAAGAAAAACAGTTCTTCATCATTAAGTTTTTTTGTACTAAAAAAATAAATTCAACAAGCCTTCTTCGTATAGATACTGTATTTTTACTTCGAACCATGCAGGTGTTCTATGATTCCAATGTAAATGAAATGATTGATGCAATTCAGAAAAAACATAATGGCACCTTGTTTTCGATTCCCTTCCTTAAAAGTTGAACACACTCATTTTTTACTCCATTGTTTTGTTTCATATGCTGACCTATCCTCTTCTCCTGACGCTTGGCACAAAACATGGGCCGACCAAGAAAAGGCATGGGAGGCCTGCAGCAAGACAACTTGCCCAGATATGTATGTTTAATCACACACAAAACAAATGATTATTCAAACCTAAAAAGCTGAAATGTCATGGAATTAATTGATAAATATAATGGTAAGAATGCTCGAAATCATATTTACGTCACCTGCAGATATCAATGATATCAAAGCAGCCTGTGACTGGGCAGACAACGGTGCGAGTGAAGATTCAGTGCTTGAAGGTAAAGTTTCGAACATTTTAAACAACAATAGTAACAAGTTAATGAGTTCATTTGTTTAAATCCTAAATCATTTTAAAATGACACAAGCAACCAATTGCAGATGACTATTTCCTTATCCGTTCGCCAATGGTCAATTTGCGGCTAGCTCAAGTTGGAGTTCGTGTGGCAGCAACCTTAACCGCATATTTGAATGACAAGTACATTAGCTATTCTCTAAAATAGTCCCATCTGCAAAATTTATTGCGCCGTAGGATGAAACAATCACGCTAGAGATTCAGAGATTTTCCCAGCAGAGGAACATTCTCCTACTCAAGAAGACAAGCACATCTAATTGTACATCATTGGCAAAATGAGCAGAAATCTCTGTTTCTTTATCATATTTAAAAAAGACTTGATTTTTTCTGACATTCTTGTTTAAATAATTATGGAAAGTTGAGCGTACAAAATGATAATGCAACCTCACTGACAAAATTTGAATACTTAATCACAGAATAGTAAACCAATCATGCATTACTTGGTTAATAAATAGCAGAGTAAAGCATTGCTGCAGCCAATACCATAGGAAAACATGCATATTATAAAAACTTAACCAATTTGCGCTTGAAATAAAAAGGTAGTTTGCATTTCACAAGCCATCATCCAATATGTTGGCTAGGTTCTTATTCATGTACTTAGAAAATATACTATATTTACAAAGAAGTATACTGCCTTTATTTCACAACAGAACTAGACGCAGGTGAAATGGATAAACACTCCATTGCTTCATGCTTTCTTCTTCACAACAAGGACCTGGCACTTGGCATTGTGAACACAGTAGTTGCTGACGCTTCCCAGAAAGGCCCTGTTTCATATTCCAGGCGAAATGTACGCTATAAAAGTTATAATAAAAAAGAAAATATGCTTGTTGAAGAAAGCATAAAAATCAGACCACAAAGAACCAAGTTATCAAGCCTAGCACTTGACTGTTCATCCCAGTTGATATTATTTGCATAAATTTTCAGTTCTTGACCACAAATCAACCTCACTTCTTGAATACATTTGAACATAGGCAACGAATGTTTCTATTGAAAGAAAGAATATGCACAAAGCAGATATGAGACTCATTATCCTAAAAGATCTAAGTTTCGAAAATTTCTTTCCAAGGAAACTAAGAATGCTTTGACTTGAACAAGATTCAAGCAGCGCTGGTTCCAGTTGTGATTTTTTCATTGCACGCATTAATCTAAGTCAACATCTAAATTAATCTTCTGTACCAACTCAAAATCAGGAAACACAAAAGATCAGACAACATAATTGCAATTTTCGTGATAACCCAAATCAAGGATTTCCATTTCTGGCAGAGTACTAGTTCAAGGCCATAACTACTTTATGCACGGTTTTCTATTGGGAACAAACAAATGAATCATGCTTCGGTTATTCTTGGCCATCAATATCTGAACTTTTAAAATCAGATAATACTTAGATACACAGTGTCTCCTTTTTGTATTAAATTATGGGGAAAAAAATACACTTCCCATTCAAGAAGAACTACTGTATAAAAAGTAAAGGCTATTACATAGTATTTTTAACTATTAAATGCACGAAAAGTAATTAGCAGAAAAGGTTGCAGAAATCCTTGTAGAACATGAAAACAATTCCCTGATTAGATCCTCTTATAAAATTTGTTTCTCATGAAAGTTGCAGCTGCGGAATGAAGTTAGCTCAAATTTAAAACAACAATTTCGCAGAAAACATTAAATTAAAAATGGTAGCAGTTAATAGTAACCTTTGCAAAGCCGCTCGACTGTGGCTTCCCATCACAAGCAATTCGATTTTTAGCTTTTCCACTGCTTCGCATATGGTCTCTTTAGGATCCCCTGCTTCAGTAATTGTCTCAGCACTAATCTGTAGAAAAAAGAGTGCCCACATGATTAGTAATCGTGCTCATATGTTGCATGTATAAATAAAACTAGAAAAGCATTCATATTTCGTACTAGCATTATCATGAGTTTGTTGAAGACGAAATTGAAAATAAATAATATGTGCTACATAAGTTGGTATTGCAACAGAACTTTTTATGCAAGCTTAAATGGTCTCTCCATTTAACGCCATGCCATTTGGTTTAAGATGGATTTTGACAAATTTTATGGAGCAGTTTGTACATTTTTCACTGGTTTCCCGGCCATAATGTAAATATTTTCAATTAATATATACAGTTATTTATGTATTAAGGTAAGCAACTTCATGTTGGAAATCTGTTGTCTCACATCTAATTTAAGTCACTGCCACGAGAATGGTGGATAAAGAAAGGCTAGGGACGAGGTATCACCAGCAGATGTACAAAAATGAAGTATCATAGACTAACAAGTTCTCCAAAGATATTCTCAACTAATTCAAATAAATAATATAGAGATATTACCCCGTGGTCTTTGCAGATGTCCTTAGCTTTATCCAAAAGAGCCATGGCAGTTTTCTTTTGATTTTCCTGGAAAGCTGCTAAGAGTTCCGGAGCTGCAACACACAATAAATACAGCTTCAGGTCTTTTTAGGACCCAACAACCACAATTTTTATGCAAGAGTTACTCCAATTTGGTTGATGAATCAAAATTCTAAACTAAAACCAAACACTTTGAGAGGAATGAAAACACTGGAGGTCGTTGAACATTTAGCAAAATTTCACGTTGGTCGTAGGCTTTTCTTTTTTAATCACCCGATTGAACTAAAAGTTTTTTAGAGGTGGTTCACTTTGTCCGTTAATTTGAATATCAGAAAAGCTGATGTCGAGTCCTAATTGGTAAGAATATGAGGCAATTCAGTTGGCTAAAATGTTGTCGACGGGTGATAGATGCACATAAATAGACAAGTTACCATAATAAATTGAATCAAAATATAGTTTAGTGACTTGATTAGTTTGATAACCTGCGTTCCTAATTAAGCTTTTGAATAAGTTGGTTCAATATACTATCCAAGCAGACAAAGGTCTACAGTTTCAATGTTGCTATCACCATTTACGAAACTTATGCACTTATCATGTCTTTGATGGGAAAAAAATGCAAGGCTATACTGAAAATAAAATTTAAATGAGTTAAGTTTAAATTCTCACTAACAACTTAAACGTTCACATAGGACATTTTAACAGTATCAAAACCACTAGAATCAAGCAACAAAATATTCATCCTTGCGCAGTTTTTAAATGAATTTTAGATAGGAGTTGTAATCGGTGAAACACTTTATATAGACCAAACCGATGAAAGAGAGTTTTAGGAGAAGGCTAACATGAGAGAAATTGAAACTAGGAACCAAGGCATTTTACTGTATTTGAGGGTCACTAGTTCACAGTCCGTGCATCTGAAGATCACTATTTCATATGAGGATTTGGTCACAGCCCGTGTAAACACAATCTTATTCTCAACTTGCTCTATCCCACAAGATTTGTTCGCTTAAATCTTTCCATAACTACAGTCTTCACTCTTGACCCTAAGTTTCTTCTACACACTAGGTCTTCACATCAATTGAGTCGAATTTCAATATCTGGAACCACCCATTACACTATGGGTAATCAGTAAGTGAAACCATTACAGCTCACAAAAATTTCTAGAACCAAACCCCAACCCAAATAGCAACCAATATTTAGCAGAGCATACACACCAAAATCTAACAAAACCAAAGAGCAAACCAAAATCTAGAAACAAACAATAAAGAAGAAGTAGATTCTGCAAATGCTAAAAACAACATAAATTCGTTCCTCTGAAAACTACATAACAATTCCATCCAATCGATTCCTTTGAATCAGATCGGGTCATTGGATCGTGGTGAATAAATTGTAAAAAATTAAAAATTTATAATAATGACAAATTCGGTTTAGAGCCGGGTAGCAAGGTTCCCGTTCAAGAACCAAAATTCGTCCGAGTCCTCCCTGATCGGTTGTCGTTCCAGGTTCCCAATTATTTTTTATTTTTTATTTTTCTCTTTCCTAGAACTGGATTTGAACCTCCAGTTCGGGAAGTTCGGTTCAGGTTAGAATGCACACTCCTACTACTGACGATACATAGAGCCAGCAGCGTAGAGATTGTGCAAATCAAACTTCACAAACAGGGTAATAACACTTATCTCCTACTTCTTCTTCCTCCACACACCCACACAGATAAACAGTTCTTGATTCAATCAGAACATCCCTAATTCCAAAACACATTCACGAACCGCCACCCAACAAGACAATCAAAGTCGAGCATCAAACATAAATTAAGTTCGTGTGTTTATAAAAGGAAAGAGAGCTTACAAGTAACACCATAAGTAGATGCATAGATAAACGCATAATCAACTATGGGCTGCACAGTGAAAAGCACGAGTTCCGAATTTAGTAGTGAGTCGTGAAGCTTTTGAAGAGTCCATTTCAGTGCATAAAGGCTGAACTCACTCTCATCAATCGCCACCATCACCTTCTTCTTTTCTTCCTCCATCTATGTATGAGTTTCTCAAAATTTCTCGCAGATTTTCGATCTTTTGAACGTGTCTGCTCGGGCATCTATTCATGTATGTCGGTCTAGCAGTGCTATTTAGAAGGATAGCCGGCAGTATCCAGTGTTTGATGTCCATTATCTGTAAATGAAAATTGAGAATAATATTTTTTTAAAAAAATGAGTGCTTAAAAAAAAGAAAAAAATTTCGATTTACGTATAATATTTTTTTATGAAAAATTGTGTGGTTGAAAATAAAAGAGAGAAAAATAAAATGTAATTTAATTTAATTTAATGGGAATTAAACAGGGGCTAAATGATAAGTTTAGGATACCAACACTTTCTATATATATAGTTATATACATTTATTTTTAAAAGTTAAATTTTATTATATTTTAAATCTTATGTAAATTTACTTAAATAGACATAAATAGAATTAAATAAAAATACATAACTTTAAATTGATCCACTAGTTTTTATTTTTATTTATGTTTAATTAGAATCCTAATAGATAGAGAAAAATACATGAATATTTATAGGTGATGATGGCCTTAAATGTGATTTTTGTGCCGGAATCATATCGGATTTCGAAGAATGCAAAACGAAATTTGATGCAGTTTTATCAGTTAATCAAGAAAGAAAAATAATTGTAGCCAACAAAATTAGTAAAATTTAGCTTGCTTAATCGAACTTTCTTCTTCTTTCTTTCTTTAACCTTTGTTGTTTAAAGCATTCTAATATTCAGAACTTCAATAGATAAATAATTTATTTCGTGTTAATTTAATGTTCAATTAGTTCAACTTTGTTCTTATTTCATTCATTTGGTTTAAAAGTTTATGGTTTTAGGGATCGGACAAATCTACAGTGATAGGAATGTATTTAAAGTGGGATGAATATATAAAATTCATGTGGATATATAGTATTTAAATGAATGAATTTAATAAGGACAATATTGAAATATGATGTTGATGTAAATAGTATTTTTTAAAATTTTATTAGAGATGAATTTAGAGTGGAATGTACTTATAAAAAATGTGGATGGAAGTAGTAGTACCCTAAATTTAATAGAAGGTGGAATTAAATGAGTTTTAAAGTGACATTAAACCCCTTTTAGAACTCATTAATTTAATTTAAAATTTTCTCGCCTAGTTTCAATTACACAATTTTCAATAAAATAATATTTTACGCAAGTCAAAAACTTTTCATTATTTTACAACCATCTATTTTTCAAAAAAATAAATAAAATCTATTCCCCTATTATAAATCCAAATAATGGGGCTCAAACGAGAGCTAAATTATCAATGACTCATCCAACTCCATCTTTTATTTAGGAGTAATATTATTTTGCTCCACTAGGATTAAAATCTCGATTCAGTTTAATGTCATATTAAATCCTTGTTTGAGTTTCATTCTTTGAAAAAAAAATGAATTTTTCAACAGTATTTTAATATCATTTCAACCACATATATTTTTAATAATATAATATTAAACATAAATTTAAAATTTTTTCTTATTTTTTAATCACACATTTTCAATTAATACACTATTCAAAAACTCATTTTTTTCTCCAAAATTAAGCTCAAATTAGGGTTAAATGATAGATAGAATTAAATAAATTATTTAATTTAATCTTTCATTTAATTTATCATTTTACGTTGCGTAAATTGTAGTTTCAGTGAAACTACATAATGAACCTGTTTGAGAGTGATTTAAAAAATTGATTTTTTGATCGTTAGAAAAAAAGTGGGATCCACTTGTGAAAGAAAAAGTCAAATATAATGACTGAAATAATAAAATAACGATCAAAAAATTATTTTTTTGAGAGGAAAAATCACTCCCAAACAAACTCAATATTATTCTTTTATTCATGAAGTTGAGATTGCAATTCAAAGAGACTCTCAATAGCATTACTCTTACTCATATATCTGTCTCTGGAGAAATCTGTGTGCTCAGACAACTGTCGAGGGCTGCCATGAAAACACGTGGAAAGTCAAGTTCATTTTTTTAATGTGGAGTTGTTCTGATTTGACAGTTGGAAAGCACCTCCAAAAGTTATTTTCAAGATTTGATAAATTTCTCAGCACCCTCCAAGAATTTATTTTTAACTAAACAATTTTTTATAAAATAATTCTACACATATTTTAAAAAAAAAAAAATTCTTACTTTTTAATCAGATATTCTCCAAAAAATCACTATTTCATAATACATTTTATACCAAAAATAAGAATCAAATAGGGACTCAACATTTTAGTCTCTATCCTACGAAATTTACTAATTATTTATAAATTGATAATAAATTATTTATAAACAATCAATTTTCATTTTTAAACATATATTTTAATGAATCACTATTTATTTATTCATCACTTATTTTTATCTATTTATAAATTAAATCATTTATAAATTCTTCTTAAATGGTGGCGTTCTTTCGAAATATTGAAGAGAGAATAAATCACACTCCAAAAAGGACTTCATATGGAAAAACATTGCACAATTTGGTACATAATTTATTTCTTTCGGCAGAAAGTTGGTCTCCAATCATTAGGAAAGAAACAATTGATCAGACCGTTCAATGGCGTATTAAATTATTATATTGACTTCAAATATTTACTTTGCTAAGTATGCAGGAGGTCCCAAGTAATATAATGAATCTTCGAGTCCAGATTATCGTTCCTACAAAGATTATACTTTAATGTCTAATTTAACATTTCTAACTACCATTTGACAAAAGTAAACAAATAACTGCGATTGTTGTTTTGTTGTTAATGCTTAAAAATATCAAAATTGCACAAAAAGATAAGTTGAGGATTTGAATATGGGATGGATATTGGAGCATAACAATTTCACCTATTGATCATTTTTAAATCGTAATTCAAGATTCATATATAATGTAGTGTTCGATCAAATTCTTTTATTGTATTCAATTTACTCATATCAAGTTCTTATTGAGTCTATTTAACTAATTTAATTCTATATCTTTATGCGAATCAACCTTAGTTAAATGAAATATTAGTTCTAAAAATTTATTCATTACCGTAATAATCAGTATAGATATCTCTACCTATTATAGTAATTTAATTTATTTTACCATATGGTCTAAATCTAAAACTCACATTTCGATTCATAATAGATTTACGGAATCATTGAATAATTAGCCAGAAAATTCAAAACATTGAGTACATAATTAATATCGACACATATGCATTTAAAGAATTTGAATCTTGAATAAAAGAAATATTTGGTCTCAAAAGATTATATTGTTCGCCATAATATGAATTTAGCTACTCATGATAATAGAAGAAAAACTAAAAGTTTACATTTAGCACGTCATCAAATTTTGAATTGAGATGTAGAAAAGATGATGAATCTTGCACCAAGTTCTCTTATTGCCTTTCAATCCTGATTTTGAAACCAAGATCTTGATTCCTTGTTTTCCTTCCTTTTAATTTTCTCTCGAAATCTCTCATTGTATATTTTGCCTCTCAACGTGTGGAGTCCCCCTTTTAAGTCAACCCCTATATTTATATTCCCCTTCACGTGTTTCTCAAAATTGCGATTTTTCAGGACTTTTCACTGGTCAAAACGGTGCAATCCTAAACTAGGCGGCGTAGCACAACGCTTCAGCTCTTCGAGTGCAGCACCTAGGCACTGTATCTCTATCCAAATACATTTCTTTTAATGAATCACAGTGCCTGGGTGCTTAGTACCTGGCGCTTGGCCATGACTTGCTGCTCTAAATTTAATGATTTTGGCTTCATTGCTGACTTTTGTACCTCTTTTACACCGACTCATCTAACCTTTAAAACAATACTAACAAACTCATCGAAAACGTTCTGTACTCATAAGATCTAGCAAATAATCAAATTAAAATTGTGCAAAATTCATGAGTAAAAACACACTTGTCACTAAGCTAGTGATTATTACAAAATTTGAAGTGCTAATTCTTTCATAAAAGGTTACTGACGATTTGACAAAAATTTGGATAATTTTCGTCATCAAAAATAAATTATACAACTAAAATGAAAATTTGAGAGCTAACTTGCTCTTTCTATGAAGTTAGAGACCTACTTACTACTTAAATATTAAGTTCGAGACTAATGTAGCAATATTTCCAACTTCATATCTATGGAACATAATTTGCAGCTTAAGATTGAAGACTAAAATTTTGACTTCCTTTTTCCTCATTTCGAATGGTCATTTTTATAATCAATTATTATTGCATGTAAAATATTGTCCTAAAAATTCATTTGAATATAAAAACATTGTTTTATAAGAAATGTAGAAAGTTTGATTTTTTGTTTTTGTTATATATTTCATTTTCCTTTGATGTAATAAATTAAAAATATATATAGAATTGACTCTAATTTTTTTAAGAATTATTATAATTGTTTGTTGTACATAATGTAATATTTCTTTTGTCTTGTTGTGTTAATATTGGTAGGTAATATTCGAGATAAGTGTTGACGTCTAACTTGTTTGTGCTTATCTTGATTTTGTCTATTGACTAATCAATGCTGATGTTCAAACAATTTTATCACTAATTTTCAACCACTGCCTTAAAAAGCAGTGTTTAAAATTTTTGTCCTTTGCCTTCTAAATATACTACACTATATTACTTTTCCTTTTTTGATTCCTTTTGTTTTGATATAGGTTTATGATAGAAAATTAATTGGTTTTTAAGACAAATTGAGATATTAGAATAGAGAATTTCCTGCTTAATTAATGAGTTTCTATATTTTTTTATAATATTAGATTATTAGTGTAGTATCATCAAACCATATTTTGATGATTTAAAATAAATCTTCAAATTTCTTTCATGAAAATATCTTATAGTTTCATTTTACCATTTGGAGAAAAGCATAACATACTGAAAAGATGATAATTCTGATTTTCTATATACTATTTGAGCCTCTTGCATATTAATTTTGTTAAAATTCTTAATGGTCAACAACTCTTCAACGTACGTGTGTACACTATCAATATTGTTGGAAGCAATCATGTGTCTACTTGAGTCTCCAATCATCCATCCATTGCTTCTAGCTAGACTTATATCTTTAATGACTTAGTTGTCATGATATGTACTAAGCACTACATATACCTTCAACGTTGCTATCATGTTTGAGCATCTTGTCACGACATAGACACATCCCACAAGGATAACTTGACACTTGTAACCAAACTATTATCGCATAGGTTCCAATTTTTTGAACGTCAAAAATCCTCAACTCATCACGTTTCTATGAAGTGCATTGTTCAGCTTTAAAGCACCTAATGTACCATTTGCGATGTTACATTTTAGTTCCCAAACATTAGTTCGATTAACTTGACATTAAGCTTATTGTAACACTTTATCACACGTGTGGGGAAAGTTGCTAAACACGTCCAAAATAAAATGAAGAAATCAATATTTTTATGGTAATAGAATAAAGATAAAAAAACCATTTTCTTAGAGAAAATTTCTCCAATTTATTGTTATTAAATTGGTGTCGAAAATTGAATCAGTTTCCTAATAAATAATAATGCATCTTGGGTGCAGCCGAATTAAAGGAAGGAATTAGGTAAAATTTCTAGTTTGTGTTATGTTAATTATAAATTAACAGGGTTTATTCTCTTGTGGTAAGTGACTTGAGGGTTTTAAGAGTACAAAGAATTAAGTCTATTATCCCAGATTTTCTTTTTCTCTTTTTGGGATTTCAAAGAGTACAAATTTGTGGATTAGTAAAATTAGGATTTTTTATTTATTTTTTTTCCCTTCGATCCTTGTAGCATTTGGTGAGTGAAAAATTTACATGATTGAATAAATTTTTTATATAGTGAAAAGTTTGGATAGGCCGTAATTTTTTTCTCTTCTTTTTTATAATTTTTTATTTTTGGTTATTTTTTCTGAACAATGATCATATGAACTTAAGGAATTGCTCTCAATTTTAAACAATGGTATCAGAGAGTCAAGTCGTTCATAATGTTGCAGCATGAAAAATATACGTTAGCTGACACGGAGAACATTGTTGGAAGAATCAACTTTGGCTTGTGACAAGTACGAGTCAATCATGTGTCAATTCAATTTGAACTATGCAAAGTTTTATAAGGAAGACCAACCCGATCAAGTGTGGACAACCTACATGTCAAGAAAAGCTTTTGAAAAGGTGGAGCGGACTCGACTAACTGCTTGAACTCAAATGGAAAATGTTTATGGGAGATGAAACTTTTGCTTAAGATATAAACATCCTCATGGTATGAACTAGTTGCCATGGTAGAGATGCATTACTACTAGCGATCCATATATTTGATTACACCTTACGGACATTATTTTGACACTGATGAAGGTTGTGTAGTGGAATTGATCTCGATGGCAGATAAGCTCTCAGGAAAGTCAAACAGGGGATTTCGTAATAATTTCTCCCCAAGTTTGTTCGCATGAGCCAATAAGAATTTGTTGTTAATTCTAATTGATTACACTCGCATGGTGAAATATATAAATTCTTTATTTTTAAGAATTGGGACAATTAAAGTTTGTCAAAATTAATCCGATTTTTCTCAATATCACAGAACGCGAGATGACGGAATATTGGCTCATTTTTGGAGATTGTTGATAAAGTTGCCAAACACGTTTCAAAATAAAAGGAAGAAATCAATATTTTATGTTAATAGAATAAAGGTTAAATTGATATTTCTATAAAGTAAACTTGTCCAATTTATTGTTAAAAATTAAAATTGCTTCCTAACAATGTATCTTGGGTGCTCTTGAATTGATGAATGGAATTAGGTCAAATTTGTAGATTACGTTAATTATAACTTGATGAGGTTTATTCTCTTTCATTGCATGACTCGAGGGTTTTGAGAGAAATTTTTAGAGTAAAATTGATGGTTGTGATAAAAGTGTACGAACTTCATCGATTGAATCTCCGAACACATTAGCATAAGTTTTAAATCTACATTAATTTTACTAATCATATTCATTATTCATGAGTGAAAAAAAACTATGATTTCTCTTTGACGTGGGTTGAATTGATCATGATCTTAAACGATAAATAGGATAGTAATTATACAAGTGAAACTTATCATGTAGCTCAATTTTACGAATTTCTTTGTGATGAAGTTAACAGATACGTATTTCCTTTAACTAAAGAGGAGATTCCATGTCTAACAAATTGAAAAAGATTCAAAAATTAAGACTTTTCCTTAAATCAAATTTGCGGGACATCAAATCATTCATAATTGACATTTTTCCCAATGCAATGTCATTTTCTTCCACATAATGTCATAGTGAAATTACTATTATTGATAAACTTTTGATGCATAAGATAAGGATTTAACACTTGATCAAAGTCACATTGACGCACCCATATTATGGCTGTAATCATTAGGGCAATTCTAGCATTTGGACATTTCACAAATTATATAGATTCTTTTGGCTATTGTTAATGTCATATTAGACCTAAAATATCATTTATTCCTCTACTAAAGTCAGCATTGCCAGCACAAGTTTAGTCCAATAATTAGCAATGAATTATTCTTGTAACGAGATATAGTTATCAATCTATTGATAACTAGTAAATTAGTACACGAAGACGTCGACATTATAAATTGACTGTTATTCATGAATCCTGCATTATAAGCAGCTTTTACACAGAATGATGATATAGATATGTGTTTATATATATGTATGTATGTATGTATTTATTTATATGTAGGACAAAGCATATTTATGTTACAATGAAAACTAAGATAGAAAAGGCCAAGAGGCTTGGGACTGGGGTGGACCTCCATAACCTTCTCCCACAAGTTTGTCCATCCCTTGTGCTTCATATCCAGTTGTTCCCTGTTGTTAAACCCATTCCAACAGTACAATATCGACATTAAAGTCCAACTTTGGCATTGAATATGGTAAAATAATAAATTATGCTCTTGTTCGATGGCCGTTATTTGGGAAAAGTAATGTTTTGTACAGTGATTTTTAGGAAAAGTTATGTGCAGAATATTTTATTTTGTGAATGTGTGGTTAAAAATAAGTATGTAAAAAAGGTTTTGAAATAATGACTATCAACAATACCATAATTTTCTTTCTGGCAGTTGCTTATGAAATTAATTTGAGCAAACAAGTTCTAGGATGAATGTAGAATTGACAATTTTTTAGGAGTTGGAATAAATTATTGGACTAATTTTCATTTTTGAAAGATTAATTAAGCAAAATATGAAATGGAATAGTCTAAACAAGATTAAAGAAGAAAGGTATGTGCACAATTTATATGTCGAGTCGCATTCAATCATGTCAACAATCATATCAAATATGGTGAAATAGTTTTACCTGCATTGTTTCGATAGCTTCTGCCTCCAATGAATTGAAATCATAGAATAAACTCGCTGCTGATAGTTTCATTGAAAGAAACTATAGGAAAGATATATAAATAAAAATTAAATTTAAACATGTAGACTAAGACGTATTGTATATAACTAGACTGACCCGATAATTTTAATCATAATAGAATTCTTAATGAATATAAACTTACATCAATTTGATTTTGAAGTGACCTGACATAATTTATGATCACATCCAACATCATAGCCATCCCCATTGTCTGCAAAAGCTCAAAAACATTTTTTTTACTTTTCCCAATAAATTTAGGTTGATTGCGTAAAATTATTAAAATCCTCAAAATCATTAGGTCTTCCATGATCATAAAGGGAAGAAAAAAAGAACTGAAAATGAAGGATGTAGAAGGGTTACCTTGTAACACCCTGGAACTAGGTCTTGCAAGCATTTCAGCTTGTCATTTATCTTCTCCCTTCGTAACTATTTCATTACACAAAAATCTTATTATTATTATGATTATTATGATTATTATTATTATTATTTAATAATGCTTGACAAGTTATGTGCATATATATCCAGTGTGTTTGTGTATAAAGTGTAAACATGCACGATATTTTCTTGTACTGAAATTTGTAAATGAAAAATCAATCACCAAAACCAACCCTTTCGGCCAAACTGTGGCTATCAGTAGCTTGCCCTCTCTTTGCTCTGACATGGACAACCTCCCTAGGTTTCTGGGAGTCTGTCTCATTGATTTTCTTTCTCTTCTTCCCACCTTTATTCTGAGATCATATCATATATATATATATATATATATTTAATAATAGAAATTCAAGATCTTGTTTGAAATAAAGGGCCAAAGACAGAATAAATACTGGAAACTAAGAGAGAAAAATAGATATACTGCATAGTTTTTGCCGAACTTGTTAGCTCCAACTGAACCAGATCCAGACACGGACGGAGAATACTTAAGCAGGATATCAGATTCTGGTGCAACGTTCATGTTATTGCATCCATGGTTCAAACCTCCATCTGACGGAAAGAAATTAAGAACTGCTGGATCGTAAACCGGGAAGTCGGCAGGATGAATTGTTCGTGAATTTTCCTCTTGGAATGTCATAGAAATCAGTTGAGATTGATGATCAGAAAACCCTTCATCATACGAAGGCATATTTCTATCAAAATTTGTGTTGAAACCCTCCATTTCACTCAGGTTGTTCAGTAATTCCATGCTGTTTGAGTTCATTTCTGGGAAAGAAGGTTTAGGGTTCTGAATGTCAAAAATAAACTCTGCCATGAAATGTGCAAGTACAAATGAATACTTTTAGGTTTTCATATGATATGTTTAGATAACAACGTTATATAAGATTTTGCTAAATAATTTGGCACGATAAATCTTCAGTTATGTTGAAATAATGTACACCTAGGATTGCAGAATGTACAACTATATTCGCATCGTTTGGTACACAAGAAATGACGTTAATGATTTTTTCTTTATGTGGATGCAAATTGTTAGAGGGTCCACATCCAAATTGATATATCTAGTAAGTGAGATCATCTCTCGTCTTTCATCAAGTATGGTACAAAAAAGGGATGATCATAATTATTTAGCAACGACTTTTATGTTATATCTTGATAATTCTGGCAATTATTCATCACAGATTGGAATCCTCAATCTTATTGACTTGTCTATTGGCAGATATGGGGTATTATTCTCTCGGAATCAAAATGATAGGGTAATAGTCCACAAATTATCGTGCTAAATATGTTATATATAAGTGTTAAGATTCGTTTGATGTGATTTTTATTTTTTATTTTACTTCTTGTAGAAGAATATTTTTATAAAATTATTCAAACATATTCAAAAAAATTTATTTTCTTAATCTCAGAAGTTATTTTTTTTTCCTTTTAAAATTCAATCAAACGAACCCTTAGTTAAGAATGGATGCTAGTTTGATATAATTTTACCATAATTTGATGAAACGATTACTAAAGAAATGACTAAACATGGGCAAAATCAGGGGCAGACCCACATGGGGTCATGTGGTGGGTCAAATGACCCCATAAAATTTTGCCTCAATTTTTTTTTTTTTAAAACCCTTTACGATCTACTTTGATACACTTGTTACGAGATGTCAAATGAAGTCGAAATATTGCATTTTTAATACCATTTCGAAATACTTATGACCTAGTTTTTCACTCATTAATGATATGCGAAGTGGTCAACTAAAGCAAATGTTACAATATTTCAAAATAGACCGTTTGAAACTAGTATTTTGAGAATTTCGATACTATCCTAACTTGTAAAATTGTCGACGATCATGTGCTATCCGAATCCACAAATCGTCTATGTCATGTGGAAGCTTGTTTCAAAAACTATATTATTGTCATATCAAATGGTCCAAACAGATATCGAAAATAGTTAAATATACGTCAAACTTACATTCAAAAATATGTCTAACTCGTATTTTCTTTAAAAAAATTCAGATATTTTATTAACATTTATTATTTTTACACGATAAATTTTTCAATAAAATTTATATCATTTTATTACAAAATTTTACATGGAATATGACATAAAAATTTTTAGGATCGTTACGGATTAAATGTAATTTAAATTACATTCGAACTACATTTTCTTTAAATTTGAATTTCATTTACTTCATGGATTAAACTTAAAATTTATTTCAATTCATTTATGAAATGTTAAATAAAACTATACAAGTAGCAATTATTTAGTAATATTGATAATGATGTAATTATACAACATTTTTAAAGTATCAAAATGTGTATTAACTTATTTTCATTAATAATATGTTGTTGTTTTTTTTAAAAAAATTATATTTAAATTTTTTATCCCACAGCAATAAAAGTCTGGGTCCGTACATGGACAAAATGGCCTCAACAATAGAATGTGATGCATCTACAGTGATCCAATATGTTCAGTGTGTGTTTCAAGTGCATTGTGCCATATGTAAGAAATGTGTGAATCAAGTATGTTTAGTTTGATGTAGAGAATATGCTTTAGAAATAATTTTTCATATTTTCAACTAATAATGGAAGTGTTACTCGAATTACAATAAATTTAAAATTTGCGATTTCTAAAAACGTAATTAAAATTCTGAACAATTGAAATTTCATTTTACAAATTGTGACATTACTCTTGATTATTAGCAATGAATCATTCTTCGCAAATGAATTTAGTTTCTAATTGATCTTTCTTGTTAACAAATTCTTTTTGAGAAGTTGTAAAGTATCTATGCATGGGCGTATTTGCCTAACACCATAAGAATCAGACAATGAGAGTTTTCCATTCTCGATTCAATCCACCGATCGATATCTAATTCACATTATGGTTAATATGTACGGCGTGTAGTACTAGCAATCTATATTGTACGTGTGATCAAATTAAGCTCCCGTTTGGCCCCTATTAAATTTTATTTTATTTTTCTCTCTACTATTTTCAATCACACAATCTTTCATTAAATAATATTACACGTAAATCGAAATTTTTTTTTTCAATCACTTATTTTTAAAAAAAATATTATTCCACTCATTTTAATTTCAAAAAATGGGGGCCAAACGGGGGTCGCTATACCGTGTATCATTCTGCAATATCCACTGATGGTTTAGTGGAAGGGAAATCACAATTTCAATATATTCACTATACGAGTAAGTTCTTTGATTCGTTTAGAAGTTGGAATTTTCGGATTGACGATCCTATATTTTATTGGCTAACCATCAACAGCTCCATTAGACCTAGTAATTGAGAAGTTTCATGTGTCCCATCCAAATAAACACAAGTTGACCATGTACAATTCCATTAGACTTGCTCGACAAGGAGCTCGATCCTTTCTTGCTGTTTAATGAATGACTCATGAGGAGATTCCTATTCATTCAGCGGACTGCAACGTATGGCTAGTCAATCATTCGACAAAGAAATAATTGGTCGTCCATTATCTATATAGTAAGTAAGCTCTCTTAGTCGTTTATAAATGAAGGGTTTGCTGGACCCTATCTCCACAGTGGACGCAAACTAGAGATTACGTTTTCAATTAGACTCTCTAGAACTATTGAGATAAACAAACAACAACCTTAATAGGTGCGTCAAGTAATCGGTATCCATTAGCTATTTGTGTTGAACCCGGAGGGATTGTAATGAATTAGATTAATGACATACTATGAAGTAATAAAGATCACAATAGAAATAAAATTAAAAATAAAGAAGAACAAAGAGAGTTAATCGTAGATGAACGATGTATATTAGCTGACAATATGAAGAAAAAATTACGGACACAACAATAACACTTAAACAAAACTGACAGAGATACCTTGTATTTATACGTCATGTTTCAAACCTTAGAAGAGCTCTAAAAATGTAAAAAAATCTGTTAAAATTATGTTACAGTTGCGCATAGAACTTCGACCGAGAGAGAATTTTCTTTCCTTATTCAACTTGGATACAATCTTCCTTTCCAAGTAAAAATCAAACACTCAATTTCACAAGACTCCTAACCATATTTGAGTTACAAAACCTAACAATTTGTGTATTGAATGCTTGATAGATAGACCGTGTAGAGTTGCTAACATTTCTTGAGCTAGTATAGTTTTAGTGATTTTCATTGAGTCATTGAAAAAATAAAAAAAAATATATAGATGACAATAAAGGTATGTGACACATGTGACTGAAGAAATAAATGACAGCAGGGTGGATTTTCAACCCAAAAAGAGGGATGGCCATAGGACTATTTATAATTAGGGGTGCAAAGTGGAGCGAGTTATTTGTCTACTCGAATCGTTCGAACGAGCTGAGCAGCGAATCATTCATACGAGTCGTTCGTCGACTCACACGAGTTAGGGCACAAGTTGGGCGAGCCATCTCGTCAACGGTTTGCAAGCCGGATCTTCGTAATAAGTAAAAAATGCAATTAAGTCAAACGAAAAAATATTTTGACGTGGCACTCGTGCTTGGCTCGCCTCAACAAGAAACGAGCTTGTGGGGCGAGTCAAGCCAGACTTTGGTTAATCAAGTTGGCTCGTCCAACGATAGGCAAGCCAAGCGGCTTAAGCTTAGTATTACTCAACAATTGACAAATTTTGGCATGAATCTTCGTTAATCGTTTTACTCTCTTTTTCACTTTAACATATTTTACCCTTGATGCCTACTCTCGGGGGCTAGTAATGAGATTTTTTGTTGTAGCTCAGGGTGATGTTTGGGACAATTCGTATTATTCGTACCCAACTTCCATGCACGCTCTTTCCAATCTTTTCCCTTCTTGATTTTGTTGCATCTCCATACAGTAATTCATTTCCATTTTGGACTGAACAGTGAAGCATGCAAGAAAATGATTTTAATCTTACACCTAAACTTCTCATCAAATACATAGAAAATCTAACTCAACTTATTCCCATTTACAGAAACATATTTTCCACTCGTGATTAGCAACGGTCGTATTCAAATCCATTTAGGTCACTGGTTTGGTTGTATGGGCAACAAGCCCCCATAAACTTAGGATAGAATTAGATCAAGTCATTCATTAAGCAATCCTTAGCAAGGGAGACAAGTCGATATTGTCTTTTGTACTCAACCTTTCATGCCCGCCTATAATAAAAATTGAATAATTTTCTATGCCGAACCACCCTAAATAGATGGCTAGTTATGCTTCATTGAGTGAATTCTTCGTAGAATCTTAGCTCGTGTTTGGTACATTATTTGCGAGTTTATCATTATTTCAATTTTTGCCAATAGCATAAAGTTGCTAATGGGAGGAATTTGGAGATGTACCGAGACATCTCAACTAGGTTGATATCTCCATAGTATCTTCATCATGTGTCCCTCTTTCCTATGCATTAAATAAATTAACAAACAGAAGTAACAATGTTTACAAGCCATGACGCTAAAGTGTATTCCTTTCTGAGATAGAATGTCTTCCGTTTGAATTTTTCCATGAAGTATGTGCCACAAGAAAGACCTCGGAGGAACGTAAGATATCAAGATAGAACTGTTTGAATTGAATGAAAAATATTGAATAGAAGTAATGAAAAATATTGAATAGAAGTCTCTTCATATGTTGTAACTCAAGTAACACAAGTCCCTTCATGTTTTTAACTCCTTTATCAATGAATGGTTTAACTCCTTGATTAATGAGCTAGCTTTTCTTCCATTGGTATAAATAGGATTCTCTCTAGGTTGAAAAATTACAAGTGAAATGCAAGCTTCTTCCTCTAAACAACAATCTTCTTTTTCTCACTTTCAAATTCTTCCTTGTGCTTATAATTTCTTTGTGAGATAGAGTATATCACAGCTAGTTCGTAGGCAATTAACGTAGTGCAGCGTGAACCGACAACCAATTGTATCCTGGGAATCGAACACCGATCAAAACCTCTTGCACTCCGGCGAAACGG